TGGTTGAAAAAGAAGGAAAATTTATTGATGTAATGGAAAATATTATTTTATTGAAAAATGTGCGGTAGAAAATGAGAATTGATTTACTGTAGAATTTGAGAATAAAAAACAAACAGACCTTTAATGTTAATTTAGATTTTTAGTGAAAGTTGTTAGATTAAGTGAAGTCTAGATGTTGAGAAATTCAAATCTAGCAAGAATAGTCATATATTGAGATTAGTGACTTTTATTAGTGAAACTCAATCAAATTTGAGCGAAAATGGATGAATGTTGTGAAATCAGCTCTACATTGAACACCCGAGTGAGATAGTAGAAACCAAGTTTGGGTGTGCATCCCACGGGAGAGTAAGGAAATATTTTATTATTCAAGGTCGAAAAAGTAACCAGATTCAAGAATCACGAGGATTAGATTGACTACCATAAACGTATCGATTGAGCATTAAATAAGTGAAGAATTAGTTTTAGTTGCATTAATTGTGTACATTTTAATAAATAGTCAAACACTTTCAATACCTAATGCGAGATAGACAGTTATCTAATACATTTTATATTTTTGTTTGTTTATTTGTGTGTTTAGTATATAGTGTTCGAAATGAACAAGAATTTAAGTTTGAGAGTATTTGATATCAGGGATTCTATTCTTATTCAATTATGTGTAAATTGGGCGAATATTTACCTAATTTTGTATAATTATGTTAATTGTAGAAAAATCATAACTTGAGTACAATTGGTGTGAAAAATATAAGATTGGAACTTAATTGAAGTTGATTCGAAATAATTGAAGATTATCTGAGTTACACGTGATCAATTAGAAGAACTAGGTAGAGCATTTGGAAGAAATCCACAAGTTTTAAAAGTTAAATTCAATAATTGAAAAGTTTAAGGACTAAATTGTAAATTCTGAAACTTGCATCGGATCAATTATTGATTATTTTCGGATGATGAAGACTGAATTTAGAGGATTTAAAGATGGAGGACTAAAATTACAAAAGTAGTGCTCAAAGATACCAAAATCTGCTTTGAGTGCAATTTTGACACGATTTTTGAACTAATTTCGAAGTCTATAAATATTTACCTTCATCGACAATTAGGAAAAGGCCTCCGAGGATACAAAATTTATATTTAATTACAAAAAGATGGAGCTCAAAAGAAGAGAAAATAAAAGGAAATCAATCAAAAAGTTAGGATTTTGAAGCTCTTGACTTGGGAGAAGCATATTTTTGGTGGAAGATAATCAACTTTTTTTCTCGTTTGTCCTCTAAACCCAATGATGTGTAACTAAATAATTAGTTGAGACAAATAATTATAATCTAGTTTTTTGAACTTTAATTATGATTATGGAGTTTTGATTTTGATTTTGATTTTAAATTGATATGTGTTAATTGTTTTTACTTTTTGTTTTTTTAATGTTTTGAATTACTTGACTACTTATTCATTGATTTGTGAACTATAATTATGTTGAGATGCGAATTATTTGTTCAGACCACATAGTAAAATCTTACGATTTGAATAAAAGGGTAGAGATATGTTTTTTTGTAATATTATCTACACGATATTAGATAGTATTGCGTCGAGTAATATTTTAATTATTTTCCTCAAATATTATAAACGTGAACGCACATAGACACCGTTAACTTATTAATAACTCAAATGATATTTATTAAAAGAGAAAAAACACTAAATTACCAAAAATGTAAGGAAAAAAATAATGAAAAATAGTTAAAAATTATAGTGTCGGTCAATGTCTACGTGCGGTGAGTCATAAATAGTCTACCAAAA